TGACATCTTATTACTTCATTTTTCCGTTCTCTTAATCTATGATTATATGTACATATTTGTGCGCGGGCCTCATTGTGACTCCGCGTCACACCGTCCAACCTGCCCCTAGATAGCCCCTATTCGGGACGGTGACCCCGGTATCGGTGTCAGTGTCCTCGGTATGAGTGGCGGCGGCGAATCGCACCACTCCTCGTCGCGCGGTCTGGGCACGAGTGGTGGCAGCGAGTCGTGCTGCTCCTCGTCGCTAGGCCTTGGCACAAGTGGTGGCGGCGAGTCGTACCCCTCCTCGTCACGTGGCCTTGGCACAAGTGTGGGCGGCGAGTCCCGCCACACCGAGTCGATGGCTTTCGGGGACGTTGGCGACGATGATCCTCCTGACTCATAGTTAAGCGCCCATTGCAACGGGTCGTCGCTCCTATCACTCTGCCTCTCCCACTCCAGATCGAAGTCTTGGTCGCGCTCCAATTTATCTGTGGAAATATGAAGTGTTATAAAGAGTCTACTTAACTCCTCTACCATTTCGCCTATGACGATGATGTCTTCCAGGTAGGCGAAAGCGTGGAGCTCCATTTCCGGGCCTATCACCGGATCCAGTGCTCTCTGGAACGTGGCGCAGGCCGAGGGCAGAACAAGGGCATCACCTTCCACTGGTATAGTCCCCGTCCTGGAACTCTGAACGCGTTATACTGCCTGCTCCCTTCCTCCATGGGTATCTGCCAATATCCTTGCTTCAGATCCAGCGTCGATATATAGCGTGCGTGCCGCAGGCGGTCTAAAATGTGGTTCATCCGGGGTACTGGGGGTACTTCAGCTGCCGATAGTCGATGCACATAGGCTAAGCGCACATTTCAAAAAGCAAATAAAAAAGTGCGAGAGGCGCACCGTCACTTGCGCCAACGAGGGAGCATCAGCGTGCCATATCCGGCGACGCCCAGCTGATGCGACGGACCAGCAAAAGAAGGACATCTATACCTCGACTACAGACAGAAGACACCAGATGCAGCTATATACTTTTAATATATTAATATAATAATAAAAATTTTTGTAAAATTCAGCGGAAACACATCCGCTCGATTAGCAGCATAGCCCGTAAAGCTATGCGAAACACAAGGTAGGCTTTTGTCATATTATCCAAAATTTAAAAAACAAAATAAGCCTTATATATGGCAAAATCTTAAATAAGCTTAACACAAAAAAAAAATGGTCATCTGCCAATATTAAAAATCCAAAAACTATCTAATTGTACATAAGTAGAAGAACATTATTAAAATTTGAAAATAAACCAAAATTTAAATTTGAAAAGAGGAATTTTATAAGTAATAATTCGTTCAGTTACAATACAACGATATAAGACATTTTAACTAAAATAGGCTCCAAGGTTGAAAAATCAGCCGCAAATGTCATTAATAATGTAAAAGTCATTGATCATAGAGAAAACTTGGAAGAAATTGCAATTCTATTGCTAATCATAGCCGTTGTATCTGTCATTTCTTTAGGACTCAAAATTTATGCAATGCGTTACAAAAAAATCAAAAAACGTTACTTGAGCAGGGCAAACGATTTAAAAAAATCTTAAATTCGAAAAATTTTTTTTTAACAATGGCAGTTATAGAATCCATTATTAGGCTCACATATATAGATAAGCCAGATTTTTGTACAGCGAATTCATTACAGTATATAAATTCGAACAAGAATATATAGAAACTTACGGCACTAACACAAGTCCGTTAAGACATTGCCAGAAGATAGAAAACGGACTAGTAGTTCTTAATACGTTGCCATATGTCTCGGTGAAAATAATTACTGAAGAAGTGCCACATGGAATGGCACCAGATAGCACAAAAAAAAAAAAAAAATAAAGCTGCATATATCGAATTTCAACCTAATAAAATAATTATTGTGCGGTTGCACAGTATTGGAATGGACGCAAATCGTTACCATTCTTAGGGAACAACGTGAGGAAATTAATAAATTTTTCAAGTGCCTTAACAAAAGCGCACCTGTCTCACACGAGACAAAGTAAATATACGATAAAATTGTTGTAGATTCCTACAATACCAGCCGTCAACTTATATGTGACAATGCAACAAAACTAAAAGATTTGCATTTAACACAGACAGTTGATGCTTTAAGCAGTTAAAGAGAAAACATTAGACGAATTTCGGAAAGGCATAATATAACAATATTCCTTTCAAATTCTCTTAACACTTCAGCGTCATTCGACGAGAAACTGTTTTCACTGCCAGCTGATGCTAAACCATCAGATTCTAAAGTAAATAAACAAGCAATTTACAGCATAATGGCCCAAACAGCTATAAGTTTTCTCAAACTAGCCTCATCGCTCTTACCAGACATTGATGGAAAGGCAGAAAAATTACAAATTAGAAGCTACTGGCCGGGGTATGACTCTCAGTCTTACCAGGTCCAGCGAGTTACAAGACATTTATAAATTCGCTGGGAAAAAGGGTTTAAGGGGGAGGGAATAGGTATTTTGGCCAAACCAACCCTAGCTCTATTACTACACGCCTACGCTATCGGGCTGTGGCCTCGCACCAGCTATTCCTTCGGGCCGTGGCCTCGCACCAACTACACTATCGGGCCGAGGCCTCGTATCAACTCCACTACCCAAACGCTAACAGTAATACCCACTCCTGGGCTACTGTCCCGTACCACATGCTCCTACTCTAGGTTAGGTTAAACATCGGCTAATTCTAAATGCTAAAGAACTAACAAGTTTCTTTCGATAATCACGGCACACGCACTTTTATTCACTTATTGTTTAACACTATCCTGTTGTCTCTCATAAACTAAGACCCTGTCGCACTGTTTTGGAGCCCTTGCGCCCCGCTACGCACTCTATGATTTTTCTCGTTGCGACGCACGTCTAGTCACCCTTAATGTTATTTCCAAAGTGCCGGCACGCTCGCCGGCTGCCATGCGCTTGCCTCGGCCGCTTAACTTCGCCGCGAGCTTTCGCAACTTCGCCTCGGAGCTTTCGCTCTTAGCCGCCGAATTGAAGTTGCGCTCTCGAAGACGGTGTTGAGCAACCGATCGACAACGCACGGTTGCAGCGGCGGCCGGCGGTTAAATTCAAACTCACTCTTGTTCAGTTAAATTAATTAAAACATTCACGGCTTCTTGCCTCTTTACTCCTAATACTGAATCGCTTATAGTATCGATGGCTCCTTGCCTCTTACTTTGCTATGATCTTAAACTAATATATAATAATTAATACTTATAAACTAAGGAAAAATTAACGAATTGTCCCGCCAGCGGCTCCTTGACGTGATTTGGCCAAAGGGACGACGGCTCCTTGCCGTGAAAAACTGTGGGGTGGCTGATCTCAATAGCCGCCTCACACCCCCCCCCCCCCCTCACTTCGAGAAAGTGACGGTAACTTCGCCTCTCGCGTTCAGCGAAACGCTGTAGTCGTCCTTCCCGTCGGACACGTGGAAACGGGTGCGTCGGCATCGGAACCGACGGATTCGCGCCTCTCTCGCGATTAGCTCCACTACGCCCGAAGACAATGGTGTTCCGCGGGGAAAAACCTTCCTGCCCAGGGATAGAATCGGGCAGGGGTTCTGGGCGGGGCTCCCCCGTCTCGACATTGGTGTCAGGTTCCTCCTCGAGTAGTGAATCCAGGCTGGTATCCCATCCGTTGATACCGTCAAAGAGGTCCACAATGTCCTCCCACAACTCGCTCTCTGTGGGAGTCTTCGGAACCGTTGAAGATGGATCCTCGGTCGTACTACAGGGCTTGGGTGACGAAGGCGGTGCCATCGTGTTCTGGCGAGTGACAAAAGAAGCCTTTAAGAGCGGCGTCTCGCTTTCTTGGCCGAACCACGCTTCCTCTAACTCGGTCGGTTCACCGTTCGTTCCGTCGGTGACGACTCCATATCCGCGGCCGACGGGGAAATTTCCTTTCTTGCCGTCTCTATCGCTCCGGCTTCCTGCACTGATGGTGCGTGCTTACCCGTTTCGAGCGTAGGAGCTCCTCCTCGTCCACCTCGCCGGTCGCGGTTGGGGTTGTCGTTCCAGACGACCGTGGCGAGTGGGATGCAAGAGGCGGGGACGGGGAACACGAACATGGTCGTGACCTCGACGGCCATCAGCATGACCATCCCGTCCAGTCTCTCCATGATGTTGGTCCGCCGGGAGTACAAGGTATGACGGAACTGGTGAGGCGGCTCCTCTTGCCGTCCTCTTCCGTAGTATTCGCGCCCCTGACGGGGGTCACGCGGGCGGCCTCCGGCGCCAGGCCCGGAGAAAGGCTCAGTGTCTCCGCTGCTGGCGTCTTCGTCCGATGAGATTGTGATGATTTCGGGTTCCATCTGTAAATTCAACTTATTTGTTAACTTATTCGTTACTTATTTGTTAATGCCCTATCCTCTCAGTGCGGCTCACATTTTACTAAGCCTATTCTGATTTACGCTGCTAGTGTTAATCTAATCTAAACTTTAGTACAATGGTTACGTTGGGCGACGGGTGTCGCTCTCACCCTTCGCCTGCTCGTAGGCATCCATGTGCCCTGGGTCTTCCTCTTCATCATCAGTCGTCTTTTGGTGGAATGGTTTCAGCTGCGAGATATTGGCCACCCTCTTCTTATGTTCGCCTGGTTTCACCAAGCGCACAATATTGGGGGATATGAATTTGACGACCCTATAGGGGCCGTCAAACTTGGGTGCCAACTGTGCGGCGAAGCCTTCAGCGGCGTTGGATAGTTGGTGCTGCCTTAACAGCGATACTTCGGCGATACTGGCACGCATACTCGCGACCCATTTGCAGGGTGACTCGGCCACCACTGCTTGCTGACAGGTCTCTAGAGGATGTCTTGATAGTGCGTCAGACACGACGTTGAGCTTCCCTCGTCGGTAGTGAATGTCGAATTGGAATTGTTGCAGCTCCAACGCCCATCGCGCAATTCTTCCTGAAGGGCTCTTGATCGAGTTGAGCCACTTGAGTGCTAGATGGTCTGCTATCACGTCGAACCGGTACCCTTCTAGGCGCAGCGCAGCTTCCAGATCGACCATACTATTGCCAGGCACTCTTTCTCGGTGGCGGAATAGTTCACCTCAGTCTTCAGCAACTTCCGGCTCGCGTACGCTATTACTCGCTCCTGTCCATCAATCGTCTGCGTCAGCACTGCGCCGAGGCCATACTCACTCGCGTCAGCCTGCAAGACGAATTTGGCGCAAAAGTCCGGACAAGCCAACACAGGCTGTTCTTGCTCCCATGCCCATTTCCGCCCCTTCCTTAAGAGCGCTGTGAGCGGCTGTACTTGAGTCGCGAAGTTAGGAACGAAGCGCCTGTACCATGACGCCATCCCGAGACATTGCCGCAGTTCCTTACAATTTGTCGGGGCCCTCAGGTTCCGTATCTCCTCCACTTTCTCTGGCCCCCTGTGTCCGTGTGGATTCAGGCTATTGCTCCTACTCCGTCCTTTCCCAGGCACGTTTCCGCCGTGCCGCTTCCGTAACCAGCGTAGATCTGCCCTTGCAGCTCTACGCGCCGCCTCTTGGGCTCTTCAGGCTCTCGACCTGTGCCGGACCTCGCTTCCTTTTTCCGTCGAGCAGGTGCTCCTTTTCCCTGGGAGGCCTTCCTTCGGTCCCCTCTTGGTATCCTCTTTCTGCTGCCGAGCAGGTGCTCCCCTCTCATGACCAGGGAGGCCTTCCTTCATCTCCTCATTCGTTCCTGGCCCCGCGACCGGATTCATCACTGCCGCTAGGATCAGTTCCGCCTGGACGCAGCGTATGGTAGTTCCCATTGCACTCAGGAAATCCATACCCCGGATCCACGTGGTCTAACATTGAGGGCATGATGAGCATCATCATGCTGATCGTTTTTCCCCCTAGGCCGACGTCTAATCTCAAGGCCTTCCCTACCTCTAGGGTGGACCCATCTGCCAGGCGAATGCGCGCCTGTATGTCCTCCTCTCTCCCCCGAATCGACCACTTGCGTACACAATCTTCACTCATGAAGCTGCGATTGGCCCCTGTATCAATGGTAGCAGGCATCGATCGCCCGCCAATCTCTACCGTACCGTCGATCCGGCCACCGTCCACCTTCAGTGGATGTCCTACTTCTGCGTTCCGCATGTATCGGCGCCGACCCGATACTGGCCCGGGCGACGCCGTTGTCCGTTTCCCGCCTTCTTGCCCGCACCTACGACATTCCTGGCCTCTTGGCTCATCATCTGATGGGCCACCTCTGCATGAGCTATGGTGGGTGGGGCGGGGACCACAACGGTCCTTCCGGATCCGCTGTCACCCCGGGCACTGTGCCGCCCTCGCCCATTCTGCACTATTCGAACTCAAGACCCCCTGGCTCACGGATTGGCTTCCTGAGTATTCTGCCCTCTGCCTCACACCGGTCTCGTATTCCACAGCCAGCTGAGTTAGCTGGGATAGGGTAGAGAAATCTTGCCGTAGTACATAAAGCCTGTATTCCGGAGCTGCGTTTTCGTATACCCGGTGCAGCTCTTGCGCCGGCTCGTATCTGGCGTGATGCATAAGAGCCCTTGAACTCTTCGCCTACGCGCTGCCTACGGGACCGGAAAAACTCTAGGAAACCCCTCCTAAACACAGACCACGGCACATCCCTTAGCCCACTGCTCAAAAACCAACGAGCAGCCCTGTCGCAAAACACTTCGCTCATTGCCCAGGGCATTCGGTCGAGGGCAAAGCCATAGGTGATGGCGCGCTCCTCGAGATCCTCTAAGAACGGCCATCATACCTCATACCCCACTTCCGAACTTGCTCCGGAACATTAGGAAGTGGCCTCGCCTCCGATTGAGGGTACGGTCTAGTGTGGTAGGGACCACAACCCGATTCGGCAGGGGACCGCCCTACCTCCGCGTTGGCCGCGGTTGCTCGGCGGTCTTCGCAGGAACCTCCTCCGCACCCGAGACGGATAAGCTCGGGGTGGGCGCATGCAAACGCCCGTACAACTGGGAGCTCCTAAGGCCGGGCTCCGATTTTTCACGTGCCCGCCCACCAAAGTCGGGTGGGACGCCCCAGGATGGCGGCCTGCACGTAGGTGGACAGCCGCTTACGCAGCTCCTCCACGCGCCCTTCCTTGTCCAGCCCGAACTCATGGACGATCGCCACTAGTTCCTCCTTGCGCCGCAGGTGGATCCATTTTGGCACTCACCTGGCTCCATTTTGATTCTTTACTAGTCCCTCTAGGTACCCATTTCGACTTCTCTCTCTTCTCTTAAATTTTGACCATCCTTCACTTTGGTCTTTGCCTTAGTCTTTATTATTTTTCTTTTCTCTGTTATTATTCATATATATATATATTATTTTTTATATATATTTTTTTTTATTTTTTGGTCACTCCACAAACAATAAAAAAAAGTAAATAAATCTTTTAACTTTTAAATAAATTTTTTATTTTTTTTTTTTCACTTCTCAAAAAAAAACTAATCCACTTGACGTTCTTCCATCTTTAAATCCTCGTCCGTTTAACTCGTATTGTATTTGTCTGTTTTTATTGTTCTCTCCGTTTTATTTATTATTAAACGCACCCGTTCTCATTGCTTTCGCCAACTGTACTGACGAATTCAACTTTTCACCGCGCGTGAGTTGAATTCCCACTGTACACCCGCTGCCGCGACGCCTTAACGGTCCTTCGACGCCGACGTCGATTGCACCGCGCGTTTGTGCACCCGTGTGCAAGCGTGGTCTCGGCGTCGCCCGTCTGGCGCGCGCGCGCTTTACTTTTACGACCGACCGTTATGTTTTCAACTTTTTGCTGTGCGTACTAGATTTTTGCAAGCATTTTCGTCGCTAAAATGTTGCAGGTGTTCATTTTTCTGTCTACGCCTAACACAGGGTATACAAATGTTTGCTAGGGTATACTGACTACCTAATACCCTAGTTTTATACTTTACCCATATATGATATTATTATTCTCTCGTCCTTCGCTAGGGTACCTTCACTCTAGGGTATGCCCGACTAAAAATACCCTGTAAATTTTTTTTTTTGAAAATACCTATTTGGGCACGCTTGCGGGCTTTAATCCGCCGACATGCCACGCCGCCCTAAACGCCTCTGGGTCCCTGCTCGGGCGCCACTTGTAAAGAAGTTACTGGCCGGGGTATGACTCTCAGGCTTACCAGGTCCAGCGAGTTACAAGACATTTATAAATTCGCTGGGAAAGAGGGTTTAAGGGGGAGGTGAGTAGGTCTTTTGGCCAAACCAAGCCTAGCTCTATTTCCACACGCCTACACTATCGGGCCGTGGCCTCGCACCAGCTATTCCATCGGGCCGTGACCTCGCACCAACTACACTATAGTGCCGTGGCATCGCAACAACTACACTATTGGGCCGTGGCCTCGCACCAACTGCACTATCGGGACGGGGCCTGGTACCAACTACACTAGCGTGGCGTGGCCTCGCACCAACTACACTATCGGGCCGTGGCCTCGTACCAACTCCACTACCCAAACGCTAACCAGTAATACCCACTCCTGGGCTACAGTCCCGTACCACATGCTCCTACTCTAGGTTAGGTTGAACATTGGCTAATTCCGAAGTTAAAACAAACAGGGTACCGGAGAATAAAGAACTAACAAGTTTCTTTCGATAATCAAGGCATACGCACTTTTATTCACTTATTTTTTAACACTATCCTGTTGTATCTCATAAACTAAGACCCTGCCGCACTGTTTTGGAGCCCTAGCGCTCCGCTACGCAATCTATGATTTTTCTCGTTGCGACGCACGTCTACTCACCCTTAATGTTCTTTCCAAAGTGCCGGCACGCTCGCCGGCTGCCATG